CTGAATCTGAGACATCAATATTTATGGGATATATGGAAGGATCACGATCCATACCTTTGAGAGTTATGTATCATTGTTGTCACTTCTTATTCTGACTGGAGGCTGATCATTTTTCAATTGGTAGCTCATTGTGACCGCCGCTTTAGTAGGATCCAAACCAAATTTTGTTACTACCGTGTCCAGAATGTTCACATAACATCAATTACAATCGATCAACACCAACGATGATTGTTCTCCATAAATCAAGCATACATGCACGTAACCTATTTCTGTTCTAATGCATAAGAAATGTCGGTGACAAATAACAATAAGGTCACAATTCAATCAGATGAAGGTCACAATGTTTCACATTAGCACGACAATTTTTACATACATTTTCACTACTTTCCAGAATGATGGTCACAATGGTAGATTCCGGTCACAATGATAATTTTCTATCAGAAACGAAATCATTGTCACATAGACACACTAAGATCACAGATTTATATCATGGTGACATGGATAAATTTCAGTCACACAGATTCTCAAGTTGTAATTCATCAAAAATGGCGGGCATCATTACAATAAATTTAATGTCACGCGAAATATTCCGATAGCAAATACACACACATCACAGACAAACAATGGATCTGCAATGTGTGATTGTCATCATTAATTTACAATAATTTGGGACTCGAAATCAACGCCACATAAAACAATAACTGTAAGAGGAACCCGTACAATTGTACAGAGAACAATGGCGTCCTGAATTTGGATTTTTTTGTGACCTCCTTGCACCAATATTTTCCAATTGCAGAAAGCGATGGCGTCGTTCTGGACTTTCGGCCGTATCCATAGATGACTTCAGCTAAAATAATTGTGATCTCCTTGCACCAATTTGTCGGATTATTTTGTGATCCAATGAATTCGAATTATTTGTGACCTCCTAGCACCAAGTAATTTCCAATTTTAGAGAACAATGGCATCTTCTGGACGATCGACCGTTTCCAAATATGAGTTCGAGGTGTTTTAGAGGAATATTGTTTTCAAATTGTAACTGAATCCATAATTTAAGGAACGGTATTTAATCATACCAAATTTGTTTATTTTCTATATAGAATATATAATATGTATTTTCTATTTTATATTCAATTAAAACTTGATTTCTGAAAATTGAAAGTATATAGGGAAGATTACATATTCAAGAGTATAAGTTTAGTCTATTTCAAAAATAAGAACACAAGTTTAAAGTTACC